TTTTGGTAACTAGACTGTAGATATTGGCGCCGCTCTCCACAACTTGCAAGGTTAATCTTGTATTAATGTAATCTGTTTTTTTAGGTCTCCCAAACTTATTTTTGAAAGCTACAGCTACACCAGCCGACATATTTCTGTTGCAGTGAAGATCGCCTGAAATGGTGTGGGCAAATGCCACCGTTGAGTCATTTTCAAATTTACTGAACATATTCCCCATGCTGGTTTTCATGACATTGATGTTGAGTGGCCTTATATGTGTAACAGTTGGTGGTTTCTCACTGGGTGTTGGATTAAGTACATCTCTAATCATGCAAGCTATCTTTTTTTTCCCAGACCTATTAAAATGAAGGCCATGCCTAGTATAATGATCACGGGATAACTCATTTATTGGCAAGAAGGCTGCATGATTGAATTTGTCTACTAAATTTTTAATGTCCATGTTGAGGTAGCTTATTCGATTATTTACAGCAGGATTATGGTGTCTGTAAGGTAGACCTGCAACAATTATTTTTGTGTGCGAAGTTTGATTAAGAACTTTCTCAATCATAGCTTGATGATTTTTTTCAGCCTGACTTATCTCGTCATTAGATCCACCAAGCATAATCAAAGTATCAGACATGGTAAAGTGCTTCGTTAGTCCTTTGATATCCCTGACAACTTCTGAAAGGATGGCATTTGGTTTAAAAATGCAGCTGATATTTAAATCACTTTTGGGCCAGACACTGTTAAGTTCAGAAACTACATGCCTTCCATGGCTGTCTGCTACAATTAGAATTTTATTTCTAGTGTCCGGGGGACTAGTCAAAGGTGTAATTGGGGATTTTAAAGACGAGGGAACAAACACTTTTACACCGGCTTCTTTCTTTCTATGTGAAGATGTCAATTGTGTCTTCAAATTAATGTTTTCCTGTTCTAGATCCTGCATCTGTTTATTAAGAGATGTGATGTTTCCTTTAACTTTGATCTCCCTCATCATTGACAGCAAGGTATTCTTTTCCGTTGTCAATTGATTATTCAGGACGTATGCAATATATGATCGTTTTCTAATAAGATCAATTTCAGAAATTTGCAATTTACCAAGGGTTTCAGTGTCCAGGTCAGAGCTGTGCTCCACAATATCTAGGATCAAGCTTTCAATCATCAAGGATCAAGCTTTCGGCTACCTTGCCGTAGATAATTCCATGTAAACTATGAGAGTACTTTAGAACCCCTCATATCTGACCGTATGTTTCCTGCCTGGGGCAAATCATATTTTGTGTATTAATTAACTTAGTTTAACGTATTTAAATAAATTTTATGTCGGTTTCAGTATTAAAAAAAAATATGAAAAAAATTACACATGAGACTTTAATAGTTACCTTACAAGTGCAGTAAGGGCGTTTTAACATCACGCAGGTGAATGTTGTGTAACGAGCGGAAGTGAGTTGCATAATTCACCTAAGTGATGTACAGACGCTCTTGCGTAACGTGTAACGTACAAGATTTTACCTGACCCGACAGTATACTGGGGGTTACATACAATATTTTTCATTATCCATTTCACTCATCTTCTAACAGTAACGTTCTTTTACAAACAGAGGCTAGGTTAGGAAAATGCTTTAAAGCATAACAATAAAATTTAAGCGCACAGCTGATTTTTAGCGTTGAACGTCGTTGGCTCCATAGAGGTATATTTTTTTAAGTTGAGCACTCAATGTTATTTAAATGGGTTTCATTACCTTACCGAGTGAGTTTTTGAAACTTGACTTCACTCGTGAAGTAAAGAAGATGTATACATCACGCCTGGGATAGGGAAGTTTAACATGGCGGGTTAGGTAAAGTACTTTTACGCCACACTACACTATTTTGACAAACTTTCCACGCAAGGTTTTAGTCCAGAAAACAGCTGTTTGCCGCCAGCTTAATCAAATGGGGTTTCATTGAGTACTACTGTACTGTAATGAGTTTTACCAGACACCAATCAGCTGATTATACTGTATTTGGGTGGCAATGAGTATTTATAAACAAAAACATAACCTCTTAACCTCTCTTAGAGGTTATGACTAGTGATTTTTATTCCTTTAGTTGGTGGTAATGTATAAGGATCTGTACAGATTTAGTAGTATGGCGCAAACTATCATAGGTCACTCGCCCAAAATGTGTTTACCGGACTCGTATGGTAATCCCGTACTCGACTTCTTCTCGCACGGGAACGACCACACTCCTCCGGCAAACACCTATTTATTATCAGGACTAGTAACGTAATATACTATTTATTACATTTAACAATAAGCTCGAATATTTTACTATACTATTAGGTACTGGGTGGTCCATCATAACCACCAACATTTAAAACAGTTATTTCTCAGTTGTTACTTAACTTAAGACAGTTTATTTATGCAACAATTAAAAGCACAGCTGATAGCATTTTAGTTAAAAAATTGAGCAGTGGACTGTTCAACTCTGGGCTTTTCTCGTTGAAGCTTTTTTTAAAATTACGAGTCCATGCAACAACTATTTTAAGCTTAATGGTTTACCTATAAAAACATTTTGTAAACATATTTCTTTGAGCTTTAATAAACTGTATTTGTTATATAATTGTTATTTTACACAGCCTTGTTTTATTTAGGCTATTACTTTACACCTGCAAAACAAACATTGCATATAGATTTCTCACATTAGCTATTTATTTTGAATACCACTTCCATTAGATAAGTTTAATAGTATGAACAACTTATTAGGGATGGTCAAGTCTCGAAATTTCGGGAAATTTTAAATCTCGTTACACGAGACGAGATTTCTTTTTGGCCGAGATTTTTATCGTGACGAGAATTAAAAAAAAAATTAAAAACGCCTGCAGAAAGTCAATGCAATACCCGCAATACACGAGCGTGTTGTAGTTGCGTTTCCTTTGCGAAGGCGTTCTTATTTAATTAATTCTTCAAATGTAAATATTACTTTAATTATTTTAATAACATTTGGGAAGTTTTGTTAAGTGTTAGCAGTGTGAGGAATGTTTTATTACTATAAAAAAAGTCAAAACAAGTAACTATTTTATAAAAATTAATATTTTATTTTATGATTTATTTTATTTTAGGATAAGTTGAACTCTATCCTAACTGATATCACTATGTTTCCTAATCATAGGCATTTTTAATAATTTAGGCGTGATTAATAAAAAAACGTTATGCTGATGTTTTTTAATTAAATATTCTTGCCTATTATCATTATTTTTGTATTTAAACAGTCATCTAACAATGTTACAAAATCAGGTAAAAATTCCGAACGTGCATTTCCCGTTGTGTATGAGAAGGGAAATCCTGTCTCGAAATTTTATGAGAAATAAAAAATCTCGTCTCGTCTCGAACTAAAAATCCAATCTCGTCCATCCCTACAACTTATAATTACAAAAAATTCTATTAATTAAGGATTCATTTAACGCAAAAATCATCTCTCTAACCCACGAATTAGCTGGGCTGTCACGAAACAAAATGTTAGTGGTTTTTATGGACCACCCAGTACAGGTTATTGTTTTTATAATAGGCTGGTTTATGTGGCCAAATTGTTAGGCTATACAGACAAGGGCTTAGTCAAGTTGTCGCTAGATATGAGGGATTCTACTGCATTAAATTAAAGTACCTATTAGAGAACTGTATTTGGATTTTTGTTTGTCATAATTTTTAACTGACTTTTCAGTAATTTCCACGATACCCTTGGTGAAATCAGTACGGTAACAAGTAAAAACAACCTGCTATCACCAACAATATCTTCAAAAACAGAATTGGATCATATCTTTTGAGTCGACAGATTTATATTTTGCCTTTTTAACTAAAGCTTTACTCTGAACTAGCTGAATGAAATGAGATAAAGCAAAAACAAGGGAATGGGCTATAAGAGGTTCAACAAATACCTTTTCATAGTAGTGTAATCATAGCTCATCTAATCTCAACAGTGACATTTGTTAGAAGGAAAATGTTTTGATTTAGGCTACATTAAGCTACTCTTTTATATAAAATGTCATGAAACAGTAAAAAAACTTCTGAACTCTTATTTAAATGTTCAAAAGAATCTGTCGGTTGAATTGGAGGGATAAAATTTAACCTTGCAGTTAAACTTTACTCCGACAACCATTTCTGTTGCACCTTGAGGAATCCCACATTCAGATAACCGAAGCAGGCCAGTATAGTGCAAAAAATTTGTAGCCGAAACCACAAAATGTATGATATATCCCACCCATTGAATGTATTCATCTTTTAGGTATTTTCAAATGGACTGATGTTAGAAAAACCTTACGTTGTTGAAAGGTATATTTTTTGGCCACAGCAGTCGTGGTAAAAATGCGCTCATTTATACCGGGTTTCCCACCTGCAAAACCTGGTTATCCTAGGCGTGACTCGTGTCTTATAGGCCTACCGGAGGCCCGAAAATGATCATTCGTTTCACCGTGATGCAGACAAGGTTCACAATGTATGTAAAGTCAAGTTTTTCATACGCTAAATGAAGTTTCATGAATGTTTACACGCAAGCCAATACACTCTAGGTAACTCTTCCAATTCTAAGTCTGTATACTTCAACAAAAAGATAAAAACCTACTAAGATCAGGATTTCCCAGTGAAATTTCAAAACTCCTGATAATTCCCAGTCTGTGTCTACCCTGTATCAGGAAAGTATAATAGATGGTTTGTAAATACATGTAGCCTAGGCTAAATTTATATGTCAATTAAAGATAAAATGTTTGAAATTGTGTATGTGTTCTCATAAATAAATAAGTCTATATATTTTTAATTGTAGGCCTAATGGATCAAGGCCAAATTGAGTCTTTAAAGAATTCCATGAAAACAATAACAGTTTCAACAATATCCCGTAAAGACCGAGCTTATTTGAAAATTTCACATGTTAGCCTACGTCAGCTTTGCTGAATTTCATGTAGCCTAGCGTAATGTAAAAATAAAGGATTGACTATTATATAAGTAGTTTTCTAAAAAAAAGTAGTTACAAAGAAAATCTTGCTGTTACACCACTTACTTTTCTTCTAGTTTGACCCTGACTTGGAATCTGATTTTCTTCTTCTTCATTGGGTCTTTTAGGTCTTTCGGGGCAACTTTAGAATGCTCCAGATCTAAGGAGTACCTAGTAGGCATGAGGTGGTTGTAGTTCATAACCTGAAATAGGAATCATGCCGTGAGATGGTTGTATTGATGCTGAAAACAAAAGCGGACTAAGCTAGACAAAATGTAGTTATTTCACATAATGATCACTGTAAGACTGGAGAATCCGATTGGACACAACAACTGGAAATATGCAAGGCTCTTGCCACAACATGAAAAAAATTCCAATTTATTGATTATCATTCCCTCTAGCATTAGACTACAACAGTGTGTGTTAGAATATCAAGTGTCGGGATTATTGAGATTCTTTAATCCGACAGGATACTGACTGGTCCCATAGGCATTTAAAAAAAAAACTTTTAAGATTCAGGCATTCATTTTGATGCTAGGCCTAGTTTCCACATTACTTACAAGGGCTTGAAATTACCAATTTTTTTCATAAATAGTAAAAAGTAATTCATAAGCTAGGATGAAACTTTTCCTCAAATACTTCAGTATTAAAAGATATTTTGAAATTAATCCTCGAAGATGCTTTCAAACTAAAGATTTTGAGAGCACAAAACGGTAAAATGTTGCACGTTTTATGACAACCCAGAAATAAAACTAGGAAGCCAGTACGCATGCTTTAATATGCCCATATGAGTTCAGTTTCACTATAAAACAAAACCTCTGTCATATGGAACAAAACAAAAAAAAAGGTATGGACACAGATCTTACCTTCAGGAAAGGCTTTATCTTAGATCTTTTATGGATCTTCTTCTTTCCCATTCGCTTGTGAACTTTCCTGGGATACCTGTCGATCCCGGCAACCAAGGCATTTCCATACTGTTTGTCGTTGGTGCCTTCATCGTAGTTTTTGATGATGACAGCCTTCTTGCCGGCGTACCTCCCACTCAACACCAGCACGACTTTGTTGGGTTTCATAATCTTCCCCATTTTGGGATTCTGAAATTAAAATATAATTTTAACCTTTCTCCTAATCTTTGATGATTTAGATCATGGTTAGAAAAGAATGTATAAGTTAGGCCTACTGCCTGTTTTCCCCTCAAGTATTGAGCTTGCAGTGAAAACTTCATGCACCGCCAGATGTCACGTATTGGGTGAGGGGAGGGGGAACAGTTCTCCACTAGTTTTCTACAAGCTGATTGCACAATGCACTTAGCAACTAATCTTCCACTTTTAGTTATCAATATTTTTTTATCTTTAAGCTACCGACACTCCCCGGAAAACCAAAATTTAGTGGAAGATTTGTTCTACACTAGCTTAGTGGGAGAGAAAAAGTTTTAAAGCTTATTTTGTTGTAGGAAATTGTCTCAACTTTTTTTTTGGGGCAAAGCCTACCTACGGTCCGATTTTGATCAAAGTTGTGTGAGGCCTACTAATATACATAATTGTGTCCGTTAGCACGATGACGCGAGCTAAAATTATCTTTTAAAATCCATATTTTTTAGCCCCTGAGCTGATCTTGTGACTAAATCAATAAATAAGGTTACCTTCGTCAATCAGCTCATAGAAGTTGAAACATTGTTACGGCCGTTTCAGCATATCCATGCCATCATCAGACGTTCAGCCTAAGTGGCGTCGTTAATATACAAAAACACAAACTGTCACACGCGACGTACACATACATAAACATAAACGGGGGTTTTTTACTAAACAGGCCTGTTGATTAGACATATCCGCACAAGAGCAAGTAGCTGACTCAGCTGAGATGAGATCAGATGAGTCAGCTACTTGCTCTTGTGCGGATATGTCTAATCAACAGGCCTGTTTAGTAAAAAACCCCCGTTTATGTTTATGTATGTGTACGTCGCGTGTGACAGTTTGTATATTAACGACGCCACTTAGGCTGAACGTCTGATGATGGCATGGATATGCTGAAACGGCCGTAACAATGTTTCAACTTCTATGAGCTGATTGACGAAGGTAACCTTATTTATTGATTTAGTAAAATTATCTGATTTTGATGAAATTTGGTACAAACGTGTAAACCTACGTTTATTCAAACGAGTTCGCTGACCAGCATGATTGTACTTGTGAGGGCCGTTTTATGAGGTAAAAATTGGTTTTTCCATTTGTGACTCTAAAAGCATAAAATTTCTTTCTAGACCATATTGTAGAGCTTAAAAAAAAAAACAAATAACTCAATTTTGTATGTTGAGTGTTGTTGTTATTCTTAACGGTTGGGGAGATACTTAACGTAATTAGCCTAAAAAAAAATTTAAAATTTCCATGTTATTTATAATGGGTAAATAAACTGTTAGGCCTATACTTTGTTTGCTTGTTAGACCTATATTTTAATAAAATTTGGAAATTTTATTTATTTCATACTAACTATTTAAGCTGAACCTTATCAACATTTCAATAAAAAATACACCTCAATAGGCCTACCTTAACTGTAGCAGCAAACCTATTTGGCCTACTCATTAAAATTGTTATTTTAAAATTAATCTGAAAATTTTCAGGAAAAATTTTAGTAAATTAGAAATCCAGCCAGGTAAATGGAAGTTAACTTAGTCTGCAGCTTTCTGGGGCGGAGGTATTTGATTCTTTCAACTAACTTAATGTAACAAAGCCAGAGGTAAACAGATGGAGATGAGTCTATTAACACTTGATAGCCTAGGCTAAATTGAAGGTACAAGTTTAACTTTAAGTTAAGTAATTGGGCACTTAACTCAAGTTATATTTACACGCAAGACTTTGATATGTTCATTGGGGATCAACTTAGGTTGGTCTTTCTTAATTCTGAGTTAGTTTTGTGAACTTTTGAATTTCAGGTAGCCTAGGGCAGGCCTAATGTGTAGAGGGTTCTAGAAAGCTTCAACTAAGTTAGGTAGGCCTAGATATAAGATTTATAACTTGAACGTAGCATAGGCCTAACTTAACACCTCGACATCTGAAAATTTTTTTCAGGCGCTCCCGAATTACGGCGAGGCCCGGGCAAACCCGGCGCGCAACTGAATCAGCGGTCGCTATTGGCATTGAAATATCTCAGTAAGACGAATCACAAAAGAGCAATGGTGATTGTTCTGTGTTACCCCGAAAGTGAACGTAGATTTAACTAAAACACCAGGATCAATATCCAGAGTCTTTGTAATGGCTTGAATGGGGAAAATCCCCAAAAACGGGACGAAAGCATTGCCAGACGGGATTTTACTGGAATGTTTAGTAGGTACTTACCAACCTACACCAAAATAAGCTCGTATTCTAAGCTACAGACTGGCAACAATCACATTGTCACCAGCCGAGTGCTGGACTCAGACAGGGAGACGCAATATTTTGCAGGCAAGCACACATAGCAGTAAGGCCACAGTCAACGTGTTAAATCTTTTCCAAAGATTTATTTTAAAGTTAGGCAACACTAACACAACTTACTTTGGCTTTTTACTTAAATAAATCTTTGCAAACACACCCTTAATTTACTCGAATACCTAGGTACCTAGACATATTATGAAAAGTTCTAAGAATGAGTGAATAAGGCCTAGTGAATCATAATTTACTCAAACCAAGTTAAGTTTATCATCATATGAGCTTGACAAAAAACAAGTTTGTGTAGAAGTGGGATGAAAGTCGTGTTTCTTTATGGATCACTGTAGCTCCAGCCTTGGCAAACAACCGCTACGAAGGCACGGATGCGGCCATTAGACTCAGATATTTTGTTTCGATACGGTACTGGCCTCTTAATATTGGTACCAAGTAGCTAAAGCCGCATTTATACCGGAGTTTCAAACAAAAAGTTGCAAACTTTTTTTGCAAACAGCAGTTACAAACAGTAGTTTCAAATAAATGTTTGCAATTTATATTTCATGATTTGTTTCCATGTTTCATGAAATTGTTTGAAATAATTTCGACCTTTATTATGACTCGCCTCGTTCTGGTTCCTCGGATCAGTCCTTCCGAGGATGTTATTTTAGCCGTGGCGGCGTGTGTCATCTTGTCAAAGAAACGTAGGCCGAGACGATGCTGGGTGAACATCGGTAATTGTGTAAATCATCAAATTAAAATTAGGTATTATTAATTTTTAATGATTACAAGTAGGCCTACTTAATTATAACCCTTTTAATTCACATGAGACGTTATTGTGATTTTTAAATTAGACGACCTTGTCATTTGAGGTTAGTTTTAATTCATTGACAGTCAAACAGAATTTTTCCGATTAATTTAACACCGAGTCGAGACACAGGGTCGCAGTGATCAAATGAGTGAGAGTGGAGGTGGTAGCATGGGGGATGGTGGAGAAATGTTTCTGTTTTGTGTTTCAACAGCTCATATTGACCGAAACTAGTGTTGCAAACAGAGAGTTGGCAACTCCCTTTGATCCTTACCAACTTCAAGTGGAAACCAAAATTTCAGTTGCAAACACTGAAAAACTGTTTGCAACAGCAAAATATTTCGTCTAAAAAGGTGCGTTTTTAGAGATGTTTGCAATTTCTGTTTGCGACTCGTGTTTCAAACTCTGGTGTAAACGCGGCTTTAGTATAGGAAAGAACTATACTGATAAAATAACCAGCAATATCGCAATCGATAGTAAGTTACGGTAGGCTATTGCAGGATCTCTAACTTAGCTGTGTAAACGATCTTTTAACTTAGGCTATGTGTCCAAGCATTTTAATTTGGTAAGCATTAGGGATTAAAGATAATACTAGTGGTAACTTAGACGATTAATTGACTGGACAGTCTTGAATGTAGCCTAAACAAATTAATTTTAGGCCAACTTATGTAGGGGATAATCCAACACATAGGTTAACTTAGGAATGATGAGGTTAACTCAATCATTGCATTATTTGAGGTTCAACCTATAACAAGGTGTTATGATTGACGAAACAAAAATTAAAAACCAAATTGTAGCAGGTAATTTTAAGTCACTTTTAGGCCTCAACCATTGGCATAACGTAAGTTAGGATTCCTAGACATGCTACGCAGTTGACATAAAAACAGCTTATGAGTGGTAATAAGACTCCCATCTGCACAAGACATGGGGATTGTCACATAAATAAGTGTTGTTATTATAAATAATTAAACTAAATCCCATCAAAAATGTGATTTTAATAGATAATTATACTAACTTGAGGAATTCTCCGATACTCACTGTGGGCTTTGTCTAGCCGGAAAAGAACTGGCAAAATAATATAGAAATAAACCGGAAAAGACAACCAACGTAAGAAACCAAAATAAATTAAATCAGAGTCGTTATACGTATAGAGCGTACAGTATTAGTATATTTCTGAGAGTTTTCAACAGAGCATAGAATAAAAAATATTTACCTTAAACAACAGTTATATTAAGTCTAATAGATCATTTTAGTAGACTGTAGGAATATGGTCAAGAAAGAAATCAAAACTATCATGTCTTGAGATCGCTCCCTTATAAAAAAAAACGCTAAAAATATTCCATTTGCGTAGATATATCAAAATAAAGGTGGGTAAACTGCTGATGATGACTGTAGTAATCTTGTCTAGTCTTCAGCAACATCCTCAAGATTCAAGATTCAAGATTCAAGATTTATTGAGCCGTTCAGTTTATAACAATTGGCCAAGTCACTAACACTAAACTAAAATACAAAACAGAGATGCATTCCTCTTGATTTACAAAACAAAATGTCCAAAGAGCACATACAAATGTCCAAAGAGCACATACAAATGTCCAAAGAGCACACCATGCATAATAGATAAATAAATAAAAAACTGCAAAACAAAACTGTAAAACATGCAGCGGAGAAAAAAAATATAAAGATTAACAAAGCGGAGAAAAAGCAAAAAGGAAAACTTAAAAACCACACTCATTGTCCTGTTGGTGACAATAACTGATTGGGATTACCAGCAGCCATAAAAATCACATCTCATAAAATTCTTGAGGGGTCTATTTCATAATAAAGTACAAACTAATATTATTAGTAAATCATCTGATCCAATGCAAATCTAATGGAAATTACAAGGGGAAAAGATAATATGTTGACACCATAGACTAACCAACGTATGTTTAACTATGGTTGACACATTTTGATTTGTATTCTTTAATATGTTTAATTTATGCCTGCCTTCTCTCTTTATTTTTAATTGTAGCACATACGGGTGGCGTCGTCCTGTAATCCAGCTACTAGGAGGTCACGAATTGTGGATATTTATAGGCATACACTGTGGATGCGATACTCCCTCGTGTGGATTAACGTCCGCACGAGTGAGTACTACGACTATCCGCAGTACTATCCTGATAATTAGACCAATTCGTATATACCAAGGAAAAATGTGGTTCGGATCCCACTATAAACTGTAGGTCCCTTAGTTGCCATTAGCTGTTCGGGCTATTAATTAACAGCTGTGTCTAAGGAATGTCGGCCTTAGTCACTAACAAGACTACAAGATCGCGCCACTCATTCTACACTCATCTCCATTCATACTTGGCTTAAAATACCTACTATGTATGGTCGCCATTTCAATGAAAAGTATTAAAAGTATTAAGTACATGTTTAATTATTATTATGATTGTAAATAATGTCCAATTTAAATACACATCTATTTTGTCAAAGTCTTGTCTGTCTTTATAGCTATTTACATTACAAGTGTAGTAGGAGCGTTTTTACATCACGCAGGTGAATGTTGTGCAACGAGCGAAGGCGAGTTGCATAATTCACCGAAGTGATGTAAACACGCTCTTGCGTAACGTACACGATTTTACCTGACCCGACGATAAAGCGTGATGTATACAACTTACTTACTTCTCGAGTGATGTAAAGTTGAAAAAAACTCACTCGGTGATGTAATGAAACCCATTTAAATAATATTGAGTGGATAACTTAAAAATTATACCTCTATGGAGCCAACGACGTTCAACGCCAGAAATCAGCTGTGTGTTTGAATTTTATTGTTATGCTTTGAAGAATTTTCCTAACCTAGCTTTTGTTTGTAAATGAACGTTACCGTTAGAAGATATGACTGAAATTGATAATGAAGTATATTGCTCGTACCCTCCTAAATATTGTCGGGTCAGGTAAAATCTTGTACGTTACACGTTACGCAAGAGCGTGTTTACATCACTTCGGTGAATTATGCAACTCGCCTTCGCTCGTTGCACAACGTTCACCTGCGTGATGTAAAAACGCTCTTACTACACTTGTAAGTTGTAATGTAAATAGCTATTACATTTGGTGCCACTTCTCATCCCATTGTAAATTTTGAAGCACGTTTTTCATGTCTAGTTCATGTACGTGACACAAAGGCGCTAGTGTCGACGAAACTTTGTTTATATTATTTTAGGATTAATTTCTTGATTTGTGCTTTAATGTTTGGTTATAACTAGGGGACAAGTTATTGTTTATGATTAGATCGTATTATTTGGTTAAACGAGGTTTTAAATGGCTGTAATAACGGGAAACAAATTGTAAACAAAACACGACCTCTACTTAAACCGTACAGAACTAACAATAAAATTGTCTTCAGCTGTTCCATAAGGATGAGAAATCTACTAAGGACTAAGGGAGTATGTTTTATCATAGATAAAACATACTCCCTAGATTAATTTAGATAAATTTTGTTTCTATTATTTTAGGGTTAATTTCTTGATCTGTGCTTTACTGTTTGGTTAAATAACTAGGGGACAATTTATTGTTTATGATTAGATCGTATTATTTGGTTAAACGAGGTTTTAAATTTTTTTTTTCACAATTTTATTTACAATCTGTTCATTTTTAGAACATTTAGCAAATACAATAACAACTTTTAATAAAACGTTAGTTAATCTCTGTCCATTGACAGAGCTAACTTAAAAATATTTCAATGAAAAAATAAATATGTAATAAACAAGGGAAAATTAAATTGTTCAAACAAAACGTGTGCTTAGATCCAAAACATGAATCCTTTTTAGCCTGTATATACTGGTACTGTTGTCCAAGAGGTTTAGAGCCAGATGATTAGGGTGATTTTCAAGTTTCTTTAGATATTTTGCACTAAATTTGGTTATTTCCTCTTCAACCGTAGGAATTCCACTGTCCTTGTGAAGGATATTGTTATTAACATACCATGGGGCTTGCAGAATGAACCTTAAAACTTTTGACTGAAATCGTTGGATGATGTTTATGTTGGACATACTGGATGTTCCCCACAGTTGGATTCCATAAGTCCAAATTGGCCTCAGGATTACTTTGTATAGTAATAATTTGTTTGCAATGGTCAATTTTGATTTACTATTTAGGAGCCAGGAAAGATTTTTAAATTTTAAATTTAGGTACATTCTTTTATTCCAGATATGGGTTTTCCAGGTTAATCTTTTGTCAATCGTCATGCCGAGATATTTCACATCGTGAGATTGCGGAATTTGGACATTATTTAAGGTTACAGGAGGACAAGTACCTAATCTGGTAGTGAAGGTCACATGAGTAGATTTGCTCTCATTCACTTTTATTTTCCATGTTTGCAACCATTCTTCTAAGTCATCTAGGGAATTTTGAAGATTAAGTGAAGCTACCACTGGATCAGGATGGGACGCTAAAATAGCTGTATCGTCAGCAAAAGTGGCCACAGAAGTATTCACATTTTCAGGTAGATCGGCTGTAAACAGCGTATATAGTACAGGTCCGAGAACACTTCCTTGGGGAACGCCAGCTTGAATTGGGTACAATTTTGTAATGCTATCTCCAAATTTAACTCTGAAATATCTATCGGTTAGGTATGATTTAATTGTCATATAAAATGTATGAGGAAGATTCAGTTTAAGTTTATAAAGTAGGCCTGTGTGCCAAACTTTGTCAAAGGCTTGACTTACATCGATAAAGACAGCTGTACAATAGTTCTTTTTCTCAAGGTCTTCTTTAATTGTATTAACCAATCTATGTACTTGTTCAACTGTGGAATGCTCCCGTCGAAACCCAAACTGATGATTTGGAATCAAGTTTCTGTCCTCTACTTCTTCAAGTAGACGATTCAAGAAGAGCCTCTCAAACAATTTGGATGTTATTGGAAGTAGACTGATAGGTCGATATGAACTTGCTTGTTGGGGTGGTTTTCCTGGCTTTGCTATCATTATTATTTCTGAAACTTTCCATTGTGACGGGAAATACTCAGACCGTATAATTGAATTAAAAATGAGTGTCAGGTATATAAATGCTTTTCTAGGAAGCTCTTTCATTACTTTTCCCGTGATTAAGTCGTATCCAGGGGCTTTAAACAGTTTTAATTTGTTTACAAGTTTACAGACTTCTGAGGGAGTAAAGGGCTTTATTGGAGGTGATAACTGATTTGGCGAGTCAATGAACTCAAGAATTTCGTCAAGATTATTAAAATTATTATTTTGATTTTGATTGGGAGTAAACACTGCGGCCAAGTGGTTTGCAAACACTTCAGATTTTTCAATATCGTTTCTTGCCCAAGTTCCATCGGACTTAGAGATAGGCGGTATCAGGATAGTTGGAGGTTTTAAATGACTGTAATAACGGGAAACAAATTGTAAACAAAACACGACCTCTACTTAAACCGTACAGAACTAACAATAAAATTGTCTTCAGCTGTCCCAAAAGGATGAGAAATCTACTAAGGACTAATTAATCTACTAGATTAATTCAGATAAATTTAGATAAATTTTCTTTATATTATTTTAGGGTTAATTTATTGATTTGTGCTTTACTGGTTGGTTAAATAACTAGGGGACGATTTATTGTTTATGATTAGATCGTATTATTTGGTTAAACGAGGTTTTAAATGACTGTAATAACACGGGAAACAAATTGTAAACAAAACACGATCTCTACATAAACCGTACAGAACAAACAATAAAATTGTCTTCAGCTGTTCCATTAGGATGAGAAATCTACTAAGGGAGTATGTTTTATATCAGAAATAAATGTTGCTGTAAAAAAAAATGTTTTATATCAGATTAAACATAGATATGTAGGCCTATCTTTATGCCAATATTTTTATCTTTCAGAAAGAGAGAGAAAGAGAGAGAGAGAGAGTGAGAGAGAGAGAGTTGCCGGAAATCTTGCATTCCTTTGCAAATCGAGCACTGATTTTATGGGGATGATATGGGCCAACCCTTATTTATGTTAAAATAAAAACATTATGTAAGAAGTTATATATTATCATAGGTAAAACATACCCCTTGTGTCGATTTAATACTATTAAACTAATTATTGATAAACTTCCCCAGAAATGTTTATTATATTGTTTGTATAGCTTATTAGCCTATATATGGAACACGGCCAAGAGCCAGGTGGATGTGGACGGAATATACAAAGTTGGAATATAATACATTTTATAAACAACGAACCAAAATGTTCAATTTCCCTTTTTATTTTGCTTACTCTTAATGTTTCCTAAGGTAGTTTGAGGTTTGGTTCGTTCGTTCGTTTGGTTCTTCATACTCCATGGCGTTCTTCTCTTAGCAGCATCCACAAGTAGTTGGGAAAAGTGTTATTTACCTGATTTTCTTTCGACTGGAATATTTTAGCTTTAATATTGTAGAATTTTAGGTTGATAATGGCAGATAAGGCAGCAACGGATAAGGTAAATGTTTTGTGTTTCCCCTGAAATTGGATTTGATCTTAACATTAATGACTATTGGTCCAGTTATTTGCTTTGAGGTTAGAAAGACCAGCAAATTACCATATTCATTTGGAATTAGAATTTTAGTTCCTGCAACGTAACTTTACTAATTAAAACTGTTTAATTAGGCCTATGTCACGCCTTCATTCACAGAAATGTGTAAGTTTATTGATACTGACGTCTTGACGTCTTGACACCTTCAATCAGAAGATAGGCTATTAATAATTTACCTAATAATTTAGCTACCTTGTATTGAGGCTCATTACTACAAATTTAGGATCATAGACGGAAACAGGTAATCTTATACCATTTTAATTTACAAGAAGTAATCCTGGACCAAATAACATCATTATGAATTTACCTAAGGCTAGGCTAACTTAAATTGCTTGCCTACACATAACCAGGGTCATACTTGGAGACAAGTAGGCCTAGGCCTATGTGATATCAATATAAAGTAAGTTTATACCATCTATTATTTATGAAGTCTAATAATTATTATTTTACCTTGACCTAGATATAACTTGTAAGCCTAACTTAGGGCAAAAAATTCATAACTTAGGCCTAACCTTTGACCAGTATCCAATAGTCAATGGCCTAACTTAAGATCCAAATAAAATAAAACCATATTTGTTCATAAAAAATTTATATGATCATATATTTCTGATCAGAACAGATCTAAGTTAAACTTATTTAAGCAACATTTGCAGAAAACCTACAATATATTTTTTAAATGTTAACTTATCTAGCAATTCTGTTTTAAAGAACAACTAGAAGTTTTTAGAAGTAAGTTGAGAGGTGTTGAAAACAATGGATGGTCATCCGATCAACAGGAGGAGAGGAGAGTTTTGGGAATACCACCATCTGATTTGAGAACTTAACTTCATCTCTGTCATCTTAAGTTTGGCTGGAGGTTCGCACGTTTTCTGCTGCTCCTGTGACATTTTCGGCTGAACTGAAGCATGACTAATCTGAGCGGCGAGTGGTAATCTCACAAAAATTGGTTTGGGCTTGGAACCATGAGCGGCACTAGGCGGCGTCGCTTACCGCCACTCAAACTTGTCGTGGCCACCTTAAAAAAATTTACTTGGGCCTAAATAAGACCCGGTGTCAGAGCAGAACAGCTTGCCATTCACAGTTTGCGCTTGTATTATACCCTGGGCCTTAGACATACAACACCAATGATTCAATTTATTAAACCATTTGATTTTAAGCACTACAAAACTGTTTAGTAAGAAATTGCTAAATATCATGTTTTGGGGGTAAAAAATGTGAAAAACCCTAACTTATTTTACCCCATAGGACCCCCCAAAAAAATCTGTTTTCATAGTTTGATCATGCTGGTTCGTTAACTCGTTAGAATAAATGTAGGTTTATATGTTAATACCAAATTTTATCAAAATCGCATCATATTTATTGAAGTTGTTGTGTTAACGGAGGAGTGTTGTGTAATTCGAAGTTTCGTCGCCAAATCACTCTATAATTCGAAATTACGCAGTAATTCAAATTTTTGTCAGCAAAACATTCTATAATTCAAAGTCAGGGCTCCCTTCATGTTATAGCCTAACAGAAAACTATATATATATATATGTTATGTTCCACAGTAGTTTCGGATGTTTTGATGTTTAGTTAGAGCAGTAGGTAGATATCGTCTGGTTGACAGTGTTTGTGGTCAAGCACAATTTTGAGGTTAGGTTCCTTCCACAATGCTTAAAAACTACATTCATTATCATTATTCTATTGCATGTCATTAGATCCAAGCCTAAACCCACAATATGATAAATTTGTAAAGAACCCCTAAGTTACCACCGATAAAATAGTCGTTCTGAAAACGAATTATACCGTACCAGATTGAAGTAGGCCCCTATAACACTGGAGAACAATAAGCGGTAACCGAGACAACGACTCACGGCCACTTGTGCCCGGCCGTTTCCTATCGGGTACGGTGATCGTCCACTCGATCGGCAACGCTCGGCAATGCTTTTCGTATATCTTCTCTAGTATTGATTGAATGCGGATCTATACCACATTAGCGTGTATTGTGTGACTTGCTTTTTGTTGTGGTGTAGGTTGGTAGTAAATTTCCCCGCAAAATCCCCTTCTGGCAAGCTTAAAAATCAACTTGTTGTTCCGTCTTATCTCTCCAATTGGCAATACAATGGGACCGGCTATGTTCCAAGCAGTGCTGCTATCTGTGGGTGTTTTAGCGAACTATGTCGACTCTCGTCGTAAAGCAGGACATCACCGAATGTTATTTGCTATCGTCACACCAAAATTTTGAAGGCCAACCACCCGGCAATCGGGTTTGTTTGACGCTGCGGGCTGCGCCTGGACTGGGGCTACGCCTGCCATTTGACTGGCCACAGCGAACGTGTTAATATGAGGGATACTATAAAACAATCAAAAAAGCTTTTCCAATTAGGCTTAGGGAATTTTAAAGACACCATATCAACTATTATCTGAGGAAATATAATATTGCTTATATTAAAACACAAAGTTCTGTTCAGTTGTAATCTCATGGGATTAGTACCTATTAACATGTAACTTTTATTCAAACCAATTCATTACCAATGTAGACTATGGTCTTAAAAATAAAAACTCAAATAGGTTTCAAGCTTTTTCCAAGCAGCCTTCAAGTCTTGGGAGGTGTTGTTGAGTTGTTTCGTATTCATATAGTGTAAATCGTATGCCAAATATCATAAACTTTCTTCTACATGATTAAAAAAGTGTACCTATTTTGCAAGAAAATAAAAAAATAAAAGTTATGGAACACTACCTAAAATAATGTAGGCCTAATAATTAGCTTGTTCTCTAGGTGATAAATAATAAACGATGTTCTAACTTGTACCATGAATCAATCCTTCACTAAAATAATAGACAAAATGACAATTAACAACACAAATATTAGCTCCTAAATGGTACTGATCATAATCATAAACAAATTACTGTATGTCACTAGCATGAAAGTAATCATGTTAGTAAATTGAACTGTCAAAAACTTCCAACTATATGTTAATGTTATTTGTATCAGGTTTGAGCCAGTGTTTATGTTTATGATCCATACCATAGACAAAACATAGGCCTAGTCCCTTAGTAAATTTCCCAGCCTTATGGAACAGGTGAAGCCAATTTTATTGTTAGTTCTGTCCGGTTTTCTGTAGATGTCAAGTTTTGTTTAAAATTTGTCCCTATTATTTTAGGGTTAGTTTCTCATTATTTGTGTCTCACTGTTTGGTTATATAGCTAGTGAACGAGTTATTGTTTATGATTAGATAGTTTTATTTGGTTAAACGAGGTTATAAATTACTGAAATAACAAGAAACAAATTGTAAACAAAACGTGACATCTACAGAAAACCGGACAGAACCAACAAAAAAAATTGGCTTCAGCTGTTCCATAAGGATGGGAGATCTACTAAGGGACTATGTTTTATCTATGTCCATACCTTTTCTGTTTGAATATCCTTTATCAACAGTTACAATATTTCTATCAGCTTTTTCCTGATTATTACATTATTGTCAAAAGCTGATCTTATTTATTTGAAAATGTTGGCTTCTGCCGTCCAGGAGGAGTTTGCATATGACAAAATGCTCAAGAGTCATATAAAAGCCCCGCTCAATAAAATATTTGGACCAAACACCCTTAACTTCCATGCATGAGTTTTGCTCGAGTTTTTAGCATCAACCGTATACCTAATAATCTGATCTTGTGTGATGTTTCAGGTTCAGACTTACAAAGACAATTTGCTTACAAAGGTGAGATGCGGAGAAGTATTTTTTTAGTAATTATTAGTAGGTAATATGACAAGTGATGTAGTAGACTTTGTCTAACTCAAGATTCTTTTAGAATTGATTCCTTGTCCTAAACATAAAAACACTTCAAAAATATATAAAACTGAATGGATACGTTTAAAAACTGCACGTTTTAGGCTATGTACGAATTTGGTGAATTACTGTACTGTAATCTGTTTACAAAATTTAGGTGGTTTTGGAGGATGAAATCTATTGCATTTAATTAATCCTAACTAAAAAAAAAAAAAATAGCTCAACAGCTGAGGTTTTCTTGAACGTCAATCAATTGCAACATACATTAAGCAAAAAAAAGTGGTGGGGAACTTCCCCTCAAACCGCCTAAATCTTGTGAATAGACTATGAACTAAAACAGCACAGTAATTACACAAATTTTCGATTGTAACAGCTCGCAATCACGCATCACTAGTAAGAGTACATCAGTTATACTTATGTCTCTCCATCTTATATGAAGTTTGAACATTAGACCCAAACCGGAGTCTACTGTAAACCTTAACATAGAAATATTTTAGTATTTGGACTCCTTAAAACTCTTGGTTTGGTCTTGTTTTAACAAATGATTGAACTAGATCACATAAATATGGAAATTACACTAGGCCTACCACATATTTACAGTTGACTTAATTTGCATCTCAGTTTTGTACCGATAGAATATATTGTTAGTTGATCAAAAATACTGTATGCTACAGTTGGTTTTTATATTAAAAACATATTGTTTATCAAATACTTTTTATGGACTAGTTTAATTATTTTAACAATAATAATCTGATAACAATGATCTGATAATAACGATACTAAACATTGTTTTACCTAAATTAATTTTTTTAAAGATTCGTTAAATAAAATGCAGGTACTCACGATAGTTTTTTCATGTCCTTTTAAAACAGTTTTTGATATGTTTGTACTTGATGTATCTCCAGCGTAGTTTACTAGTAGGGTACTGTTTCCAAACTATGTGGTCCAAATACTCATAGCACACTTAAGTTAAAAATATTTTCAAGTAAATATTCTTTTGCTGGGATCAAATTTTAAACCTAAAACTATATATACTTGACTTATTTTGTAGTTAAAAAACATGGATGTCAAATTTGCAGGCAGAGGAACTTATACTGAAAGGATTTCCCGCTAAGATACTGCAATTGAACCAACTCCTAGAGACGCCACAGTTTAACCAAAAGGACATGAACAAAGTTCATCAAGATCTTAACATTCCCGTACCTGAACCCATTACATTGAACAATAGGTAAGCCTAGTTTTTATGCACAAACCCATTTTAAACATTTGTTTAACAGCAATTTTCCATTACTAAATTTGCCTTACGGTAGCTCTTAATATCGTAGGAATAGGCCTACATGCCCAAATATTGCACTTAATTCAATAATGGTGTACTGTAAGGCCTGATCATTAACACGTTCGCGGCGGCACGTCAATTGGCGGGCGTATCCCAGGTGCGGCGCAGCCCTCAGCATCGAACAAACCCGATTGCTGCGTGTGATTTGCTTTTCAATTTCGGTCTGACAAATAGCAAATAACGTGCGAAGATGTCCTGCTTTACAACGAGAGTCGACGTAGTTCGCTAAACACCCACAGATAGCAGCACTGCTTGTAACGTAGCCGGTCCCATTGGAATTGTATTGCCAAATAAAGGGAAAAAGACGGGACAAAAAGTAGAATTTTGAGATTGCCAGACGGGGATTTTACAGGAAAATTTACTACTAACCTACACCACAAAAATACAGTATATACTATTGAGCAGTGCTGTGGGAGGTTTCTAGTTTCTAGCTCTAATCCTGGCTTCAAAATAAATCATTTCGTACTGCATTGCAGCTTGGGAGCGATCGCACCCACCAGGATGGCATTAGGGTTCCGTATGGGAGCGATCGCTCCCATGCCGCCGCGAACGTGTTAAACTGTGACTGAGAGATCAGTTATCTTTCTGGCCAGGAGGCAGCACTTTACATTGAGGGTTTGATTCTTGTCTTGATAAATGACATCAATTACATTTGATCATTGAGTGGTCATCATCTTTCTGGCCAGGAGGCAGCACTGTACATCGAGTGTTTAATTCTCCTCTTGGTCAAGTCTTGGTGCGCAAATGACGGGGAGTGCACCTTTCTATGTTAAAGCTTGGTGGGATAGCTCACATAAAATAAACAGTGGACAGATTAGGTTTATATTTATAGCATTCATAGATTTTCAGTAGGTTTACATTAAATTAGATTGTTTGCTTCTTTCCACTTAATCCATAAACTGTGTTTGTTTTAAAATGTGGATTTTTGTGTTTATATAAGATGATTGAAAATACAACAAATAGACAAAACTACTCCTAATAATTTTAGGAGTTCAAAGGATAGAACTTGACCTAATATCTCTTTGCAGTCACATGGAACCAGTGTCCAAGAAGGCCAAGCTAGAACTGAACTGTGTCAATGATGTTGGTGGTACCAAGGTGTTTGCATTACCTAATGGAACAGTCCCGTCCAACCAGACACTGTCCGAACTCATCCACACCGTCAAACCTCATATCAAACAGCTAGTGGAAGACACAAACTTGCTCAAAATGTGGATCTCGTTCCTTATTCCTAAAATAGAAGACGGCAACAACTTCGGAGTTTCAGTTCAAGAAGACACCCTTGCGGAGATACAGTCAGTGGAAAGTGAAGCTGCCGCTTTCTTCGATCAGATTTCTAGATATTACGCGTCAAGAGCGAAAGTGATATCAAAGGTAAGTTGAGGCTGAAAAAGTCTTATGTCAACAGGTAAACAAAAGCTAGGCCTACATATTTCATGAAAGTTAATCAAACTTTTTAAATACATCTATGAAGTTGAAGTGGGGTATGTGCTTTGATAAATGTTTTGTACATATATTAAATAATTATCAAAGATACATGCCAATAGATTTTTCAATCTATTGGAGGTCACAGGTCTATAGGAGGTCAATAGATTTGTGGAAAATTATTTTGCGTTGACATTTTAAGGGTGCGCTCTACCACTCCGCCACGAGCTAATGCAAGGGTTTAGGATCTCGAGGGTTATTTTTTTAAACCTCCAATAAGTTTCAGGTGGGATCCGTGCACTTTGATGACATCTATTCTATTCAGTCCTAACCCTTAAACAACAATTAGGCCTAGTCTAGTTGTAATAGCTGATAACTACACATGAGGATAAATTATCGCACTCGCCAAGTATGTGAGGAGGCTTTGATTGGCTGTGATTAGGTTCCTGTTGTCTAAGACGTCATTCCCAATGGGAGTCCATCGCCAGTTGGCACTGGTTCTAAACTGTAAATTCAATAGGAATAGTTTGAATCTACATATCCATAGGTGCACAGTCTTTACACTGCTACCCAGTAACTGGTTTAAATATGTTTAATAACTTGCCAGCAATCCTTAGCCTTCTAGAAAAACTTTTTCAGCAGAGAATCAAGTCTTGCTTGTTGAACTACCTTGCTATTCTGTGGAGAAGTTTTATAAAATCGTGGTAAAAAAGTTCCATTAACTCGTACTACCTTCTCTCACTTGGCCTTGGTCCTGTTTGTAGGTAGCCAAGTATCCTCACATAGAAGACTACAGAAGAGCGGTCAAGGAGCTGGATGAGAAGGAATACCTCAGTCTGTGGCTGGTCATGTGTGAGATACGTAACAGATACTGCACACTGCACGACATTGTACTCAAGAACATCGAGAAACTCAAGAAACCTCGCTCTTGCAACTCTGAATCCTTATACTAAACCTGTTTGTTCTCAAACTATTCCATTTTGTGATCTACGATTAAACCTAGAGTGACTAGTTTGTTTATAAGTTTGAGTCTTTATACCCGTTATGGCCTTTTAAAGTGAGTTTGGAAAGTAATCCCTGTAAATTTGGTTCGGCTTTTTCAATTTAAATTTTTAATGGTAACGGAAAACATCCAGGTACTCACGGTGTAGTCATTTGTTAGTTTTTCTTTAACAAAAACCAATACCATTCTTAATTTATTTTGAATGAAAAAAGTCTAATAAAGTGCCCCAAACTTGTTATTAACGTGCTGAGTTTAACATGAGATAACATGAGACAATGTAGATAATTTTCTTATACACACTAAATTTACAACTCGATAATATTGAAATAGATTTATTCAACTTGATACACACATCTTACATGACTCACATCATCATGTCATCTACACACATGTCATCTTACATTGTACATTACTTTTTGATTATGGTTGTGACTGACTTAGGTTTCAGACTGATCATATACATTAGTCGTCACTGATGTGTTCTGATCTTAGTGTCCTTTAGGAGTACTACATATTACCATTGTCTATTGTAATAGTCAAAGTTATTACTATAGATAAAACATAAAACATACTCCCTCAGTACATTTCTAATACTTATGGAACAGCTGATGCCAGGTTGTTAGTTCTGTCCGGTGTACTGTAGGGGTTGTGTTTTGTTTACAATTTGTTTATATTTATTTAAGTAATTAAAAACCTCTTTTAACCAAATAAAACGATCTAATCGTAAAAAATAACTTGTCCCCTAGCTACATAACGAAACAGTGAAGCACAAATCATGGAATCAACACTGAAATAATAGAAACCAAATTTCTTATACACTAGCTGTACATGACCGGATAGGAAATAAGACACGAAAAACAAGCTTCAAAATTTACAATGGGATGAAAAGTCTACTTGTGTTGGTTAGTCTATGCTAAAACTATTGGCGTAAGTACTGGTAACTATTTTATTTTGTATATATCTATGCCTTAAGCATTTGAGCACATTTTTACTTTTGTTGTGGTTGTGGTTGTAGCCTAAGTTTTAAGTGTTATTTAATATAATGCAGTATCAGTAAAGGAGATATACAGGGTGGTAAAAAAGTCCCTGGACAGTTAAATATTTTAAAAAATAATGAAGATAGAGCTACAATACTTGGTACAAAGTTACAGGGCATAAAACTCTATTTTAACACATATTCAGTGATCCAATAACTCTTCAGGGGGACGGCCCACAAGGAGTCGGAAGAAAATCTTAAATGGAAGCATAGGTCAATATGCACATCAAATTAAAGGTCTTTTTTAGTAGAATACAATGCCGCAAACCGCACTTCAAAAGGTTGATCCTGCGCAAAATGACAGTTGTTCAAAGATTCATTTAATTAACATTGCTATTATACGCTTTCTCCTCAGGATAAGCCCTAGGAATCGGAAGACAATTGTTAACGTAAGCATAGGTCGATATGCACATCAAATTAAAGGTCTTTTTTAGTAGAATACAATGCCGCAAACCGCACTTCAAAAGGTTGATCCTGCGCAAAATGACAGTTGTTCAAAGATTCATTTAATTAACATTGCTATTATACGCTTTCTCCTCAGGATAAGCCCTAGGAATCGGAAGACAATTGTTAACGTAAAAATAGGTCGATATGCACATCAAATTAAAGGTCTTCACTTGTAGATTACGATGCCGTAAATTCAAGCTCAAAAAAATGCCTGAGTAAAAAATGGCAGTCGTTCAAAGATTCAAAATGGCGGATTCAAGAAATCTTTGAACATCTGCCATTTTGCGCTGGATCAACCTTTTGAAGTGCGGTTTGCGGCATTGTATTCTACTAAAAAAGACCTTTAATTTGATGTGCATATTGACCTATGCTTCCATTTAAGATTTTCTTCCGACTCCTTGTGGGCCGTCCCCCTGAAGAGTTATTGGATCACTGAATATGTGTTAAAATAGAGTTTTATGCCCTGTAACTTTGTACCAAGTATTGTAGCTCTATCTTCATTATTTTTTAAAATATAACTGTCCAGGGACTTTTTTACCACCCTGTATAATGATAACCATACAATTAAAACATTTTCTTACAGTATTTCATAACATGGGCTAATTTGAAATAAGTTGTAATCCTGTCTTTAAGCCAGTTAGATTTTTAATCTGTTATAAAACTGTATAAAAATCAATAAAGAAAATAATTTGTTTTTGCAGAAAGCTTAATAACATATACGTAATAATTGTCTTTTTAAACCTGACAAAGTTAGCAATGAAATGCTCTCTATTAAACAAATGTTTAATCAAACCTTTCTTACAATCCAAAAAACTTATAAATTTGCCAATATTTTACACATTTAATTAATCAATGGAAAATTATTGTTTGGTTTTTAGTGAAAGGAGTCTTCTCATGTGCTTCAGAGAATGTTTGCTAGATTTTCTCTTTGTTCGAAGCTACTGTTGTAAGGTTTTGAAATGCCGGTATTGTCTCAGCTGAAATCCACAGGTGTTTGGTAGGATTTTAACCTCCATAACAATAGTTATATTATTAATCCATGACAATAGTTATATTATTAATGTATTTAATTAATCTGTAAAAAAAACATTTTTTCTTAGGGTTTAACAATTATCACACCATATCTACCAAATCTAATCGACGTATACATCGACATAGCTGTTAATAATACTTTTGAAGAAATTAAAACTTTAGAACTCAGAATAAACTATTATTTCTATGAAAGGTCTAATCTTAAACAGGACTCCATAGCTGTAAATGGTAACCACAGTCTTTTTAAATCTACTAGAAAATGAACAGTAACAGTTTGACGTTATTTCTCATAAAACCATTGTTAAACATCCACATGATGCAACTCTGTGGTGTTATCATTTATCTTTCTTTCCACTCCCTTAGTGTAGCCTCTAGTTACAGCTTTCTTTATTAGTCTTTTACAATATTAATAGTCATGTGTTATCATTACCTCTGAGGCTGCAGGTGCGTAGAATTTACGCTAGATATAAATGCAAGATGAGCGTAAAAATAAAAAGTGAGATGATACACATCTATAGTTTTATTACTGACTAGATCAGCTGTTTCTTATCAGGATAATGAATATGAAGTCCAGTTTCAAACCAACAAAAAACTATTAGAATCAAACTGGTGGCCTTTTGATAGATGGATAGAGATTTGATAGAGATAGGTGACCACTATAACCACTAAAGTTTTCTGTTTCCTGGCATATTTGGGCAATAAAAGATACTTCAATTTAATCTTTTAGCATTTCCAAACCTACTATACCCTCAGTGTACTTGAAAGGGGAAATTTATCCAGCAGAATTTTCTATACCATAATCTAAGTAATATTATTTGTGATTTGTGAAGCAAGATACAATTTTTATTTAAAGTAAATATAAAGAGGAACATTCACAACATTACAGAGATGTCACGAGAACTAGAACTAACTTGGATGGATAGTGGAATGTGTCATCATAAACCTAGATATGAGCTGTACAAGGTAAAACTGACATTATTGTAACCATTGTAAGTTTTTGTTCTTTTACTCTATTAAACTTTACTTGTTATTTATCAAAACTTTCTCCCAGCATCAAAAGTCATGCAAATAAAAAACACATGATTACATAAGAACAAACAAAATAGGTAAAATGAACGATAAAATTTTGTATTACCCTGTATACAAAAATGGCTTATTTACACTTGGCTGATTGTAAATTTCCAATTTACCGAAATAGACTTTTGCGTTAATTAACTAGCTTCACTAGAAGTCAAACAAAAGTTTAATTTTCTATAACCACCATAGTTTTCCATTAGTAAACTATTAGCTAGCAATAAAATTAAGTGAGAATAGAGTATGGTACTACTAATGATGATTGGTCTATTAAACATTGTTCTATTAATGTTCTAATCCATCTAAGTTTTCTATACTATACCAGTTGATAGGGGAATTAAAGATGCTATTTTGGTTACTGTAAGTCTTTGATAGTTTAAGAAGATCCCCTGAAGATGACACACACGCTGGTGAAATTTACATAGTGTAATATACAACTTCATTATAAGATCAGAGTCAACAAATAATAATAAGGTGCGTTCTAATAACTTCTTCATTTGTATTCTTAAGCTTCCAACTTTAACATCGAGAATGTAAGATCTACTTTGATATGTGTATTCATAAGTTTTACAAGGATATGTTAATTTTCTATAAAACAAAAAATAAAAGAGTCCTCAAACAGTTTGAAATTAAAATTAACTCTTCAGTTGGTCTAGTTTATACTCATAGGATAAACCCTGATTAGACAATTTCAAAATCAGGATTTTATTGTATGAAAACAGAATGCTGGTGGAATCAAGTGAATTACATTTGCATAATACATAAGTATAATGAACTCCTTCTATGGCTGAACTCCTCTTTGTTGCCTCCAAGCAAATTCAAAATATTGAACAACTATAGAACAATATAAAACAGCTCATTTAACAACTAATTTGATCAATAATGATAATGTTTTAAAATTAAAATCACTAAATCTATTGATAAAAAAATCAACTGAACTAATATAACTAGTAAAGGGTCAGTTTAAAATAAAATCTATAATTTTTCATCAGATCCTTTTTGTTATTTTTAGCAATTTCAACATAAGGGTAGCTAAGTTAAGAATGTTTGGAAATTTATTCTTAGTCCCTCTGAACTGTAACACCTGCAACGCTCTATTTCTGAGAAAATCTCTAGAGGATGATTTCGTTATGTTGATTTTCCCCCATGGAAGCTCATTCTATAAGACTTGTAATTATTGCAGTGAATAATCTTAGAAGAAATTATACACAATCTTTGTACATTTTTTAGCTAGTTGCAAAAGTAAAATAATTTAATAAAATAAAAAACAAAAATGGAAGGTCTAAATTATTTGCTGTTGCAAATTAACCGTCAATGTTTATTGTTATTTGTTAAACAAAAGCCCTACAGAGATACAAATTAAGCTGACAATGGACCTATCCGGAAGTTTCAAAATTAATGGAATCGGAAGCAGAGCAAAACAATTGTTTC